TATATATATATATATGCGACTTTTCCTCCTTGGTTTTAGCACAAGGACTTTCACCCGAAAGACAAGGAAGGTAATGAGAGTACCAAGCTAGCGAAAATGTGGACAGACTGTTGGACGGAAGGAAGGTTTTCGTCCACCAACCACAACGGCAGCTACAGTGAACAGATCACCAACAAACATGTAATCGGCGAGCCTACAGCGCAAGCTCAAGCGGAGTGCACAAATTGCCACTATTTACACCACTGACCGACCAGACAGCGCAACACAGGACAATCGACAAGACTCACGGAATGTAGTTGATCTTGAGGGTCAAAACTTAGGTCTGTTAGTCAGCAAGCGACATGATGTGTTCGGGATAATTCAATCTACAACCACTAACCGTCTAATGTGTAAAATCAACCCCTTGATCTGGACAACAAACAAATACATGTAAATCCATCACATTTAATTGACAAAGCACAGTGGGAAGTGATTTCAACAATGGGAGAAGCGACGTCCGGAAAGGTTGACCACCTGAATTGTTCAGGGAAGCAGAAGAACTGCAATGGACACGGCACTAGCCTCACCCGAAGGAGTAAAAAGAACAAATCGAGTTGTGCACCAGAAGACAAGCGTTGGGGAGTAAACAAATGAAGTGGAAAAGAAACGGAGAGGGTAACACACGCACGAATACGTCTTGCAAAACATTTGTCATCTACTAGGAACTGAAACGAAATCAGATAATGTGTGATTGTTCCTCAGGGGGAGACAGATAGGAAACAACTAAATATTTATATTTGTTGATATCATACAACAATCACAGATAGGCCTGACAGCACTGGCACTGGTGCACTTCGACGTCAGCTGAGAGGCCGAAACGACTGGATAGTATGAGTGAAAAATGTGTATGGAAACCGTTGTATGTTTCACACCGGCTCAGCAAGGAAGCGGAAAACCAGTCTCACAAGGAATGCAAACAAACTAAACACCGCTAGCACAAACAAACTGGATATATGCCAAGCGTTGTGATCATGACCTCCACTGGAATGCCCACTGTTTTGTCTTGTGGATTCGCGTTGGCGTTGTGACTGAGCGAGTTTATCCCGAATTTCCTGGCGGGGTTGAGGTACAAGCAAGGCATGTAGAAAAAATTCGCTCAAGAAAGATAAATTGATAACGACCGGAAAACAAGCCATAGATGTATCAGAGCATGGTGGTAGAAAAACCCCAAAGTGTTATCCAGTCATGATATTGTTTCGGCACCTGACTGCCATACCACCAGCATGAGCTGAAATAGTGGCAAGTTGCCCAAGCCTAGTATGAGTAGTCTAGATGCGTAGAGTAGGTTCGAACCACGGATCATCCGGTCAGTGAGCTTGCGTCTCAACCACTGGGCTTTCTCGGATCGAAAGCGTAGCAGCTGATAAGTGAGCTATGGCCATTCCAACCACCTAGTAATGAAGCCTTACAGAGGTCAGGCATGAAGTGTCAGACCAGAAAAGAGTGACAAGTGAAACTGCACTAACGCAAAATTTTATCATACAGGCGGCGGTACTCAACAGATATGCCTTTGAGCAGATTCAAGAAACCTTTGGCGAAGAAATAATGTTTTGCCGCTCTTCGAGTCACTGGAACAACATATTCTGAATGAATAACACTGTAGCAGCCTGAAGGCATGTCTGATAAGAGTCGAAATGATCAATGGTGGTAACTTGTGTTCGAACAGGGTACAGTTTTTCGAAAGATCGGGGCAGCAACATATGATGGTAGATCGTCGGTAACATGGCGTGTATGGTTTCATTTTGCAGAGATTAGCACATGAGTGTTCACTGAATCCTGTCAATATATCGTTCGACAACAAAGAGTAGGCATTAGATCTCGACGTGGTCCATTGATAGACGTATTGTAATCAAGCATGAGGGAATGACGGGTACTAGCCCAAAATAAACACGGGACCGAAACCCAGGAATGAAACATGTTATTTATATACTCTCCAAACAGTGGAATGACGTGTGTCATAAGTTCCATTTCTTTTGGAACGTTGAAGGTTCTAGGACGAGCTCTGTGAGGCGTATTAACAAATGACGTGACTTGTAAATGGGAGTCGTAAGGCTACAACATGAAAAAAATCGTTCAGCTGTAGCACCCTTCCGGTGCCTAACTGCCATGCCACCCGAAGGAAGCACCAGGGCTGGGATATTATCAGGTTGCCTAAGCCTAGACAGGGGAAGTCTAGAGGCAGAGGTCGGGTTCGGACCACGGACCTTCCGGTCAGTAAATTCGCGCTCTAACCACTTGGGCCATCTCGCCCCTATAGCATGAAAGCAAACCGGCAATGACGGTGACTGATGCTCGGTGTGTGACGGATTTTCTAGCATTTCGTAACGTCGTACTTTTTAGAAACCATTCTGACAGGCAATTTTCACGAATGGGTTGTAAGCAACATCAGCGATAAACGCGGCACAATCGGAAAGTGAGGTAGACTGCATAGTCGTTTCATTCACAAGGAGTAGCCCAGGAAAAACGGATATTTTCTGCATCGATACTTCGTAACTACGAGTGACTAGCAAGCTCATCTCATGTAACAAACCCTGAACGATGTGCGACATACCATACGTCTAGCGTGAGCATGTCAGCCAATGAACCCCTGAAAGCGAGTTAACATAACTAAGGCCGGAACCATCTCCAGGCGTCCAGCAGGGCTTGGAATATGTGGTTGGATAAAACCCGACTGATGAGAAAAACGACACGCACGAACCCATACCAATACAAAACATGCAGCAAGAATTTATTTGATATAAATACAAAATTATTAGTTAGTTGAGTCAACAAGTGTTCGAACGTAGAACTTACTTGCACTATATTGGGAAAGAGTTCACAAAATACCTCTGAATTAAGGTTAAACTCGCCGCTACTCTCAGCCAAAAGACGTTTCGTACTTGCTGATGTTTCTATGCTACCCGTAGTGTGCGTGTTCTCAAGCATGAAACTCAACAAGCCCGTGAGTATGGATGAAACGGACCAGGCAGGGTTCCAAGTATCGGGATGGAAGTCACTGATAGATAGACATAATCTAAGCAGAAAAGTTATGGTTTAGTTTTCGTACCTACCGAGTGTTACAAGCGAAACGTCCGTTTGGAGTAATCATGTAAATCGATGGTGGACGGAAGGGAAACTCCCGTGGAAACACAAGTTTTCCGTGATAATATCCGCCCTTGTATGGTGAGTCACTGGGGCCACGAATGACGTAATGCCATTCGAACATATTGGAGGGTAGTGGCTCAGCAGTTACATATGGAACTGGATCCTTTATTAAACGTATGTAATCTTGCTTTAATCGTTGAATAGCCGTGGATTTCGGAGTCATATTGATGAATGAAACAAGCGAGGAGAAACGATAAGGGTTCACTTAACCAAGAACCAATGAAGAGTAAAGGCCAAGTCGTACGGCAAGTAAATTCGAACAGAATTTGCGAAGGAACAGTTCATTTATGGACACATGACAAGCATAGATTACGCGGACCAAAAGCAGGAATCCGAAACCAAGACGAACAGCTATGAAGCATGCTGAAAAGATAAAGAGGAAGCCAGTGTAAGTGAATAGCTATTGACATAGGAATAAGCCCCATGGTTGCACTAGCTACAAGACCCATTAGACTTAAAAATCGATGACTCAGTTGATCAATGAGCTCATATGTACTGGTTTGCCCTACTGACGCTGGCACTTATACATAGATTAATGCTAAAGAGATGAACGGCTCCATCATAAACACGCAAGTTCAAGTCAAACCAGTCGACAACAGCAGACGGCGCCCAAGAGAAGTGAATTCCTGTAAATTATATCATCAGTTCCTCAGATGCTTGAATGAGGAAATAAATTCAAGTTCAAGGTAACTTTAGCGTCTCCAAATCAATCCTTAAGCCTTGACACCCAGTCTGTCTGGCCACCTTCAATGTGCGCACTCTGAAGCAAGCATGACAAGCTGCTCCTGCTCTCACATTGGACTCCCTTGGTATTGATGTGTGCTGTTCCCCAGAAACAATAATTCAAGATGAAACCACAGTGGCTGAGCTAACCGCCCATCAGTCTTCACTCGCTTCACTCACCTACGGTGATCCAGAGGCTGCTGCAGCAGGATATGCAGGGGTTGGTATCGTCCTTAGTCACTGAGCGGAAGTATCCTTGCTTGACTGGATACCTGTCAACAGTTGCCTTTGTGCGGTTCGTCTGACGACGTCTGCGAAGTAGTCTCACAAGTGGGAAGCTGATCGCTCTGTTTGTCGTGTCCGTTGACGTCCCAACTGATTGCAGCTCCATCGTCAAAGAGGTTTTAAGGCGCCCTGAATGCCCTGTTGCGGCGAGCTAAAAGCTCAGACAACGTGGTGGTTGCCGGAGATTTGAATGCACAAGTGGGCAGGATTAGCGCATGAGACTCAAGAAGGACCCAATTAGGAGGTCAATATGGATTGGTTTCGGTTCGTACGGACAACGGTCAACGATTGCATCAGCTGTGTGCTGATCTCAGGTTGTTTTCATGCAGTACGAACTTCCGGAATAGCCAAAGTCGTCTGGCCACATGGTGTTCTCCAACGGCATGCAGGCCACAAACTCAAATCGATCACGTTGCTGTCAGTTACCGATGGCGCAGATCAATAACTGACCGCCAGTCGTTTTAGAACACCTTTGTGGATTTCGACCACGCAGTCGTCCGGGGCCGTGTAAGGTGCGGACAAATCGCTTGGTAACTGAAAAACTGGCCGATCCGGATGTTAGACGAATTTGCCAGAATCGTCTTCTAGAGTCTTCCAAGTGCTTTCCTGGGACGAGATTGCCATCGCTTTGCATAGTGCTGGAAACTTTGTCTGTGGAACGGTACCCCAGGCGCACTCAGTCACTGGATATCAGTCCTTGAACCTCGGAGAAACATCCCAGCCGGTTCCAGAGATGACTTTACATGAATTATCGGGCGTCACGTGAAATGGAGCGTTTGAGCCGACATTAAAGTGTGGTGGACACAGAAAGCCAAGGAAATTGAAGAGGTCCAGAAAGCCGGGAATGCCCGAAGATTGTATCAAGAGATCCGTGCGACCGGTCCTCGGAAACCACCTGTGGGTGAAACCATGGTAGAGGATGTGTTGATCAAGTCTTCACACTCCATCAGGTGCTAGAACAACGCCATACGTATAAGCGACCCACAATTCTAATATTCCTGGACTTCCAACGCTTGTTCACCAATGAATTCCCAAAAAATTCATGAATATAATAAGCTCTTCGTAGTCTCAGACTTCCGGACGTGAGAGTATACAAAAGCTCTCCAAAAGCCTCCGCATACAAAGCGGTGTCCGTCGGGGATGCCCACTCTCCATTTATCATTACGTGAGGTAACTGAAAAACTGGCCGATCCGGATGTTAGACGAATTTGCCAGAATCGTCTTCTAGAGTCTTCCAAGTGCTTTCCTGGGACGAGATTGCCATCGCTTTGCATAGTGCTGGAAACTTTGTCTGTGGAACGGTACCCCAGGCGCACTCAGTCACTGGATATCAGTCCTTGAACCTCGGAGAAACATCCCAGCCGGTTCCAGAGATGACTTTACATGAATTATCGGGCGTCACGTGAAATGGAGCGTTTGAGCCGACATTAAAGTGTGGTGGACACAGAAAGCCAAGGAAATTGAAGAGGTCCAGAAAGCCGGGAATGCCCGAAGATTGTATCAAGAGATCCGTGCGACCGGTCCTCGGAAACCACCTGTGGGTGAAACCATGGTAGAGGATGTGTTGATCAAGTCTTCACACTCCATCAGGTGCTAGAACAACGCCATACGTATAAGCGACCCACAATTCTAATATTCCTGGACTTCCAACGCTTGTTCACCAATGAATTCCCAAAAAATTCATGAATATAATAAGCTCTTCGTAGTCTCAGACTTCCGGACGTGAGAGTATACAAAAGCTCTCCAAAAGCCTCCGCATACAAAGCGGTGTCCGTCGGGGATGCCCACTCTCCATTTATACTTCATTACGTGATCCATGAAATCATGAGACGAACGCTGGAAGGTCTACAAAACCCTGGTGTTTAATTAGCTTTTGACGAAAAGATTGTCGATCTGGAATATGTAGACGACATCGTCCTCATCTTCGAAAAGGCGGTGTCTTTGGATGAACTGACTAATCATCCCGTTCTTTGGTATGCACTTTGCACCCACAAAATGTACGGTCATGCTCCTGGAAATGCAGTCACACCACTTACAATTTTGATTGTCGTCCAGCTGTAGCACCCTTTCGGTGCCTAGCTGCCATGCCACACGAAGGAGGCGCGAGGGCTGGGATACTGCTAGGTCGCCCAAGCCTAGACAGGGAAAGTCGAATGGCAGAGGTCGGGTTCGAACCACGGACCTTCCGGTTAGTAAATTCGCTCTCTAACCACTTGGTCCATCTCGCCCCAATAAAGCCTTAAGCACCTTCATGTTTCGTCGCCAATTGAGTCCTCAATCTCGAGGTTTTCCTCATCCATCGCGTGGATCTGCTAATACAGTGTGCTGTTTAAGCCGCTGCGGTGCCAGCCTCAGGGCATGTCACAGCCAAAGTAGTAGACGGTTCTGTATGACAGCTCGCCACCATCACGTGTGAGGAAGACCCTACGCCACACGTCGACACTATTCACCCGCTGCTGCCGTCACACCTGTCACACGGTTGTTGGACAATGACGTTTGAAGACGGTGGGAAGTATGTGTTCATTTGCAGGCCAGCTTTCACACTTACGGACATGCCGAAAAATGACGCACTTTAGACGGGGCCCAGTGGCGATGGGTTCAGGCCTGCCGATTCTAGTGGTGTTGGATATTCTTGAAAGCCAACCTGTAGTGACCTTCGACTTGACTTCAGGAGGTACATCCCCAACTGCAGACATTTTATCTATGGTCATCATTGGCAACAACACCACATGAGGACACCAGTGCTCCACTGCCACACCATGTCAGTTTATTTGAACGAAGCCTCATAATGCGTAGGAGGGAAATAGGGTAGGAGGGACCTGGAGCTAATCTACCATAACCACTCAAGGTGTTTACACCACGGTTAGGCAATCCGATGGCAAGAAAGACAATGACACCGGTTAGCTGCCACAGAGTCTCCAGCTAAGCATAGGTAAGGTGACATGGACCTCAGCCTGGAAGATGAACAGCACTAACGACACTCAAACTTCGCGTAACATCCTACATTCCCTTCTGTCATGTCCAATTCGTCCACTTCTAGGTTTTCGCCACTCTGAATTAGGCAAAGATAACGACGCTGTTCTCGGAAGGCGGGAACTCGGCAAGCGCAACACGATTGTGGTACCGGATATATCCTTTGAGTGGAGCACTAAAAGCCTCACCGAGGACCCGTTTCTTGATCAACTCACTCTGGATTCGCTGGTTCCAAGCGATTTCAGCTGTAGTTCTGAGACATCTGTGGTCAAAGACCTGAAGACGTCACAGATCCTCCACTCGAAGTAGACAGGTTTCAGCCGTACGATAACACATCCCGTGCTGTAGTCCAGTATACATGTCGTTTAAGGCCCGGTGATGTCTTTCTGGTGCCATAGGCAAAGCGACTAGCATCTTGCAGGACTGTGGACATCACCTTCCAGTAAGGGCCAGCGTCAGAAGACGTGTTGTCTGAAAAGGACTCCAATAGGTGATCCAGAACGAGAGTCAGTGACTGATCCACACCACCTACAGCTAATGGCGATGGCGGTTCGCTTGCATTCGGGAACACCATATGATCAAGCGGCTTCGGCTGTTCCGAAAGTTGGTTCTGCAGAGAAGTACTCTGTGGTCAGCATATAACTGCAGCGGGCAATCTCCCAAAGCTAATATCTGTTGGGTTATAACCAGACACGAATAACAGGCAGCGAGTATCGAAGCATTTACGGGATACTCTCACGGACGTTGACAAACGAACCGCACAGAGGAGAATATTGACAGACAAACATTCAACCAGAGTCCCCTCAGTGTGGTTGGTTACAACAATGCCAACCTCGGCAGAATCAGCTGCAGTGGCTTCGAATCACCAGAGGTTTGCAGCCAGAGACAAGTAATGGGGAGGTCAGTTTAACAATCTTATTTGGCTCCCGGATCTTCCCTTAAGAGAGACAGAGAGCGAGTCCAGTGTACATACGGGAGCAGTCTATTTTCCAGCTTGTTTCAGAATGTGAAAGTTAAACGCAGTCAGAACTGTGTGTCAGTTATGGCGGCTGATTTGGCCGTACGTACAGCAGCTAACGACAAAGAGCTGTGAACGTAGTGAGTCTCGTGAGGTGCTCACTGCTGATGATTCGAAAAAGGGTGAAACAACTTACAGTGATTCCCGGCTTTCTAGCATAGGAAGACTTTACTGACAGGATTAAACCTCCGTTGAAAACGACCAAATATCATTGCACTATGATCAAACAATCGTAGGTCTTAACCGGAAAATTCAGAAGTATTCTGGTACAGACATTTAGTTGAAAAGATTGAGCTTTTGAAAAATAGGATTTCTCATTTCTCGAAGAGCCACACTGCCGGTTAGTCCCTAAAAGGTGACAAACTGGTCTCCGATAGGAACGCCGTTTCCTGTAACCCATGAAAGCTGAGCGGGTCTATGGAGACACACGAGATGAATCTATCATCCAGATTGCTTCGGAGCCTTTCGCATCCAGAGCCAGTTCCATTGGATAGTACGTGTATTAAGAATGCCAAGTAATCGGCTATCTAGATGGGCTTTATTCACGATCATGGAATCAGATTCGAAGCAAAAATACGAAGGTCAGCGAAGATATGGAGTTGATGCACAGTGCTGATAACCAAACCAGTCCCAAACACCTCAATACGACTTCCAGGATGAGGATCCACACAAAGCTATCAAGAGTAGTTACGAACGCTTCTTGGCACTTGGATTTTAAGAAACAATTCTTCAAATACCTTTTCTCACTTTAATGTATTGTGGCACTCCCCGACCTGAAGCAGCCACCCGGATGTAGGGGTCGGGCTTGAGTACTACAATGATCCCGCGGGCTACACTGGCTGGAACTTCATTCCACAAATACGCCAGGAAGGCCAAAGGGGAGCAGTCAGATCAAGAGCAGCGAGACCCCGTACTAAGACTAACCGAGCTACGAGGCGTTCTGGAGATAAATTCGCACTGTTCTCTGTGAAAGGTGTGAAGGCATGTCCGGCGACCAGCATGTCTATTTTCATGGAAGCAGCTATGCTGCATTTCCACGAGGAACGACGGGTTAGAAAAGGTCGGCCCTAAAAACCGCACTTCGATCACTCAATGGTTGACCGTGACCGCCACTT